GGAAAGTGTCCAGGTGGGTTTGAACATCTCCAGAGATGGAAACTCCACACCCTCTCTGGGCAGCTTATTCCATCATCCTGCATCTCCCTGTGCCTGTGAGCGTTGGTGCAGGAGGATGGGAGCAGGGCAGGAGGCTCTGCCTTGGGCATGAACCTCACCATCACTGTCGATGCCATAAATCTGGGAGGACTCAGATTTGGTGGTTATTTCATCATAGACTGGTTTGGGTTGGAAGGGACCTTAAAGATCATCCAGTCCCAACCCCCATCCCTTTACCCCCCTCTCAGCCCCAGCTCTCCCTGCAGCAGCATTTTTCAGGGCTCTCCAGGGATGTTGCTTTAGCTTTTACCTCAGTGTTGCTCTTCATTCTTCTGAAAATACCTGTTTTTCTGCAACCACTGAGTACTCTGCAACCTCCCAACCATGGACCTTCCTCCAAAAAAAAAACCCTTAGCAAACCCCCCCCTTCCTCCCAAGGGAGATGAGCTCTGGGCACAGTGAGCAGCTCACACTCACCTTGCTGCCTGGAGGGTCCGGGGGGAGTTGGTGTTTGGCTTTCACTCTTGATAATCTCCAGACATTCAGCTTCTTGCTCTTGGAAATAAAGGACCACGGAACAGTCGGGATGTGTTGCTCCCACCTTGGGAGGGGGGAAAGGGCAGACAGGAGAGTGCCAGGCATGAAAAGACCTGAGCAAGCAGGGGACTAGCCAATATTCAGTATTTCTACTGCAGCCAGCCCCAGGAGAACCTCTCTACGTAACCACACTTTCAGGCCTTGATATTTCCTCAGCTTTACCTTGTAAACACCATAAAGAACCACTGCAATTATTCCTAATTCCCTCCAAATGCCTGCGATGCTGGTGGGCATCGCTCTGCCAAGATCCGAGCTCCATGCTGAGGAGCTGAGTTTAAAGACAGAGGGACCGACCCCATGGGCAGGGCAGCACTGAGCACATTCAATAGCCTGAGTGAGGAAAAACCATGTAATTAGAGATTTAAATCAAACCACCTATTTGGGGATGGTTAATCCTCCCCTTGATGGCTGGGTCTGCTCACGCTGGGTTTGCTCACGTTCAGGTTGGTGGATTTTAATTGGAGGCATTGGCATTGGCTGTTGGAGTTGATCTTTCTCTTCTTCCCCTGAATTTCTGGGCAGATGTTGCAAAATGGACATTCTGAGCTCCTTAGAGCTTTAGGGTTTGCTGGCAGAAGTGCTGAGACACCAAGGAACGTGCCAAGATCCCGTAGATCCCCAAAAATGTAAAGGATGTGGTGGCTCAGCGCCCCGGGATAGGGCTGCTGGGGAGCCCCCATTTTTGGGATCTGCTCCCTTGGCTTTCAACTGGGGAACTGGGAGCCTGGGGCTGAACTGAGAGCAGGCCATGAGATTTACCTGCCCATTTCCAAGCATCCATGACCATTCCCACACACCCATGACCATTCCCAAGCATCCATACACATCCCCATGCATCCGTACATGCACATTCCCAAGCATCCATGCTCATCCCCAAACATCCACACCCATCCCCAAACATCCATGCCCACAGTGGGATGCAGTGGGGGGGGAACTAAAAGCTGGAGAAATAGAGGGATGAGGGTGGGCGGGTGGACCCAAGGGCTGGAGGGATGTCCAGGGCGTTAAAGCATCACTTGGCTGAGCCTTGCCCTCCTCCCTGCC